CGATGCGGGGCTCGATCCCAGGACCCTGGGATCATGACCTGAGCCGAAGGCAGACACTTAACCGACTGAGCCACCCAGGCGCCCCATGCACACGTTTTTAGTGCTTCATTCTTTTTTCACTGCTGTGTTAGAGACGAGGTCTCTTGCCCAATATTCCATAGTCAGTATTTGACACCAGGCATTCTCCTGTCCTGTGACTTCTCCAGGTGTGGATGACACTGTCACCGTGCTCCTCCAGTACCCAGGAGAGATCCACGCCAGCTTTACCTGCAGCATCTCTGCTCAGCTCTCCAATATGGCCTTTGTGAGCGGTACCAAGGGCATGGCCCAGGTGAGGCACGACTGGCCAAGCTGGGAACCGTGGCCCCTCACAACAGGAGTGGACCAGTTGTGGTTGTTGGAGCTGGCTATGGGCTGAAGCAGACTTTTTCCCCAGCATTGCTAAGGAATCCATCATCGACCACCAGGCCACGGGATGGGTTTGAACCTCCAGGCTCCTTCCTGAGGGTGAACTTCCTGGTCTGTCAAAAATCTTTAGGCCTGAGGAGAAACTGGTTCTTATCAACCATTCCTAGAGGGCAGCTGTGGCCTTTGGAATTGCTTCCAGGACTGGATCCTGGCATTACCAAAGAGTGGCTTCACTGGGCTTCATGGGGCCCTGTTGCTAGAAAGAAATCCTGTTCTTAGCAGAAGACTTTAGACCTTGTCCCAGGCTTGGACTGCAGAATTTGGACCTTGCCTGGGCACATCTCTGTTTCCAGTTTGGCCTAGACTTGGGTATGGGAATATTGTAGGCTTCCCAGGGCTCTGGGGCCAAAAAAAGAATCAAGTCTCCGACCAGATAAGAAGGTACTGGATTGTCTAAGTCTCCTCCTTGCAAGGGAGATTCACACACATGGGAAGATAAGCTGTCCTCATGAGGCCTAAGCATCAGGTCAGAGAGGGTTTTGCCCCTGGGGAGATGCACAGGCTTCTACTGTGACAGTCCTGCTGCTGAGAAGTGAATCCTCAGCAATGGGGGTGAAGGGGGCATGTCTTCCTACCAGCCCCTAGCCGCCAGGTGTGAGAGGGAGGCTCCCAAATATCATTAGGCTGGAGCCCCCAGTAGCCACCTTTTCTCTCCCCCCAGATTCTCAACCCCTTCTGGTGCCCAACAGAGCTGGTAGTGAAGGGAGAGCATGAGGAGTTCCCGCTGCCCCAAACCCCAAGCAAGGAGTTCAATTTTACAAATGGAGCAGGCATGGTTTATGAGGCCAAGCATGTCCGGGAGTGCCTGCGAAAGGGTAAGGATGTGGAGGGTGGGTGAGAGGGTGGCAGGGTGGAGGGGCAAACCTGGTAGTGGAGGTGGGCCACTCCCCAACCCTCAGGCACTCTAAGTAGCTGTCTAGAACTACAATTCCCAGGACGCCCTGGGGCATCCATCTGCCTGAACCACTCATTACTCTGCCTCGTGGGATTCTGGGAATGGTAGTTCTTTTGATCTTGGAGGCATGAGTAGGAGGGGTCCCTAACTGTACTCTCCCCCAGGCCTGAAGGAAAGTCCTGTGATTCCCCTGGCGGAAACCGAACTCCTGGCTGACATCCTTGAAGAAGTAAGGAAGGCCATCGGAGTCACCTTCCCCCAAGACAAACGCTGATGCATGCCGTGAATAAATAAAGACATGGCTCCTACAGAGATCTTGGCAATGGTGGTTTGGTGGGAGCTGGAGCAAAGAGGTCACCAAAGGGGACACTAGATAATAACTTTGGTAGAAGAATATGGGGAGGGGGAGGAAGGCAGGGTCAGGACCACATTTCTCACAAGCTCTTGGAGCAGACACCTATGGGCAGATCCTTGGTTTGCCTACCATACCCTGTGTGACCCTGGGCAAGGAATTGTGTGTGGGTAGGAGGTGTGTCCCTAACTGCACTCTCCTGCAGCCTCTCCCCACCCCTGTTTCCTCATCAGCTGAGGAGAGATATAGTACTAACCACCCTCTGGTGAGGATTAAATGAGATGATATATGAACAGCCTCTGGTGCACGGTACATTCTCAACAAATGTTAACTGATGGCCCTTCACTTTGAGCTCAGGCCTTTCCCAAATTGGTCTCTAGAAGCTCCAGGCCTCCATTATGGTACAAAACTCATTTCAACTGGAAAGAAGGGCTTTGTCTTCAGTCTCTTTCTTTTTGTTATTTTTTTAAGATTTTATTTGATTTTTTTTAAAGATTTTATTTATTTATTTGTCAGAGAGAGAGAGAGAGAGAACAAGCAGGGGGAGTGGCAGGCAGAGGGAGAAGTAAGCTCCCTGATCAGCAGGGAGCCTGATGCAGGACTCGATCCCAGGACTCTGGGATCACGACCTGGGCCAAAGGCAGACGCTTAACCAACTGAGCCACCCAGGCGCCCTATTTATTTATTTGAGGGAGAGAGAGAGGCCGGCTCCCCGCTGAGCAGGGAGCCCAACATGGGGCTCGAATCCCAGGACCCCAGGATCATGACCTGAGCCAAAGGCAGATGCTTAACTGACTGAGCCACCCAGGCGGCCCTTGCCTTCAGTTTCTTTCTTTCTTTCTTTTTTAAGATTTTATTTATTTGAGAGAGAGAGAGAACCCAAAAGGGGGTAGGATCAGAGGGAGAAGGAGACTCCCTGCTGAGCAGGGAGCCCGACATGGGACTCGATCCCGGGACTCCGGGATCATGACCTGAGCCAAAGGCAGTTGCTTAACTAACTGGGCCACCCACTCACCCTTGCCTTCAGTTTCAATGGCCTTATTGGCAAAGCCTGGGTCATATGCCCCTCTCTGTGGCAGGTTTAGGATGTCCGTCCCATTAAAATTACAAGCAGTTGGAAGGGGGCTATATGTGGGTGGTTGGCCAGCCAATTAGGGTTAGCTCTGTGCTCCAAGCAAGGTCTAACTTTCATATTTTCTGTAATAGTTTGTGTAGGTTAGGTTATGCTGCAGTAACAACAAATCTCAACCTGGCATAACAGATTTACGTTTCACTGGAGTTATGTATTAGCTGAGATCTATATACCTGGTATCTAGGCTGACAGAGCCACTAAAATCTGGAGTCCTGCCAATCACTGTGGCCAAGGGAAGAAAGCTTTGGAGGCTCTGGTACCAAAACTTAAATGCCCTAGCACATAAACAACATACATAACCTCTTGTAATTCGTTCGCAAAAACTAGCCACATGATCTTGATGAGCCAGAGAGAGAGTCCAGGAATCCAATTCTACCAGGTTCAAGAAGATAGAGATGGATACATTGGGTTTACACTAATAATTCTCACTTTGAGCAAATGAGACAGACTAGACATCAGTCAAATGAGTTTCCTATTATTTTCTATTCCAAGTGCCATTATACCTCATTAAGCTATCACTACATTGGTCTCAGTCCTCTGCTTGCTTGGTTTCCATCTTTTGTGTGGCAAACATGGCTAATGTCTTGTAATCATTCACCTACGATGGGAAAGTTTTCACTGGACATACGGCTGCCCAGCTAAAGACACATTTCCCAGGCCCCCTTGCAACTAGGTTCTAGCCAATGGGATGTATGCAACATCTGAGTTAGGCATTTTTTAGGCAAAGAGGATGGTCTCCCTTTCAACCTCTCCCTTCCTGGTACTAGAGACGTGGTGTTGGGCATTGGTGTGTCCGTCTTACACCATGAGATGGAAGCCATGTTTGCCGATGGTGGAGTTACAAGCTAGAAGGATAGAAAAAAGACACGACTGTGGAGGTGGGCAGGCCCTGAGGTCTGCAGGGTGAGTTGGCAACCTGGAGACCCAGGAGAGCCGATGTTTAGTTTTAGTCTCAAGTCCAAAGGCCTGAGTACCAGGAGAGCTGATGGTGTACTTCTTGTCAGAAGGCCTGCAGCTTGAGATGCAGGAAGAGCTGATGTTTCGGTGTGAGCCAGAAGGTAGGAAGAAGGTTGATGTCCCAGTTCAGAGGCAGTCAGGCAGAAAGAATTCTTTCCTACTCTGAGGAGGGTTGGCCTTTTTGTTCTATTCAGGCCTTCACCTGATTGGATGGGCTCACCCACATGAGGGAACACAGTTTGCTTTACTAAGTCACCAATATAAATGTTAAGCTCACCCAAAACACCCTCACAGAAACACCCAGAAAAATGTAAGACCAGATTTCTGGATACTCTGTGGCCCAGCCAAGTTGACATAGAAAGTTAAGCACACACTCCCTGACATTGGAACTTCACTCCATATGTTCATATCGCTTGGTATTGCATATTCTTAGACTTTACATGAGAGATCAATAAGCTTAATTGATGTTTAAGTCACAGTTATGTTAGCCTTTCCTAAAGCAGCTGAATTGGTCTGCCACCTTACTATTTTCCAAAGATCTCTCCTGTCCCCACTCACTTCCCCATGAAGAGTTGAAGTTCCTCTAGTTCCTCTCCTCTTAAAACTGAGTGTGCTCATGACTCAATCATAGCCACTGCAACATGGCAAAAGGTCAAGCCCCATGACTTGTGAGGTTGTCGGGCAAGGTAATGCAATGTCTTTCTTGTGAGCTGAAATACTCTTGTAACCTTCAGCCATAATGTCAGTAGTCCAGCTGTCCTGAAGCCACCAAGCCACAAGAAAGATCAAACTAACCCACACAGAAACCACATGGAAAGCCTAGAGACTCCATGAAGATAGAGATGCTCAATCAGCAGGTCCTGACCACTACAGACTCTACTGTCCCAGCTGCAGCTGCTGTCCAACTAAAAACACTGAGTGACCCCAAGCTGGAACTGCCCACCTAAGCCTTCCCCAATTCCATTACCCACAGGCCTGTGCAAGATAATAATTTTAGTATATGTGCTGCCGAAGCGAGCACTGTGCAAGATAATAAGATGATTCCTGTGATTTGAAGCTGTTAAGCTCTGGGATGATCTGTTACACAGCAATAGCTAACCGGAACATCTGAAACACCTGATATCACAACTTTTACAACATGAGAGATGGATTCATTTTTAACATGTCTAAGCAAAACTGGAACCCCCAAATCCTACCTGGTACTGGAGTAGAGACGTGGTGTTGGGCATTGGTGGGTCCGTCTTACACCATGAGATGGAAGCCATGTTTGCGGATGGTGGAGTCACAAGCTAGAAGGATTAGAAAGACACGAAAAACTTCCTAGGTCAGCCACCAGGGCCCACTGCTCCTGAATAACTTAGCACCCACAACATAAAGGGTTCCTCTTTTCCTGGTGGGGCAACTGGTTTCTATGGTGTCTCTCAATGACCTCTACTTCCTGGTCTTCATGTCCTTGTGTCTCCCCTCTCCTGTGGGTGTGCTGGATCTAGTGCTCTGGTAAAGGCAGAAGTGATGGGCTGTCCCTTCTGAAACTAAGTAATAATAGACTGACTTCAGTCCTGCTTGCACTCCTGCTTGCTCACTGTGATGCAGCCAGCTGCCATGCTGTGAACTGCCCTATGAAGAGATCTCATGACAAGGAAGTGAGGATAGCCTGTGCCCAGCAGCCAGCAAGGAACTGAGGTCCTCAGTCCAACATATCTCAAGGAACTGAGTCTTCCCAATAACCATGTAAGCATGCTTGGAAATGGATCCTTCCCCAGTTGAAACTTTGGATGAGACCGGAACCCCAGCTGACACCTTTCTGATAGCCTTGGGAAAGAATGTAAAACAGGGGACCCAGGTAAGCCACATCCAGAGTCCACCTATAACTTATATCATGTAATATAAATCTATGACTTTAAAATATCTGTAAGTTATATTTTTCTTTGTTAGAAGGGTTTATTTTTATTTTTTATTATTATGTTAATCATCATACATTACATCATTAGTTTTTGGTGTAGTGTTCCATGATTCATTGTTTGTGCACAACACCCAGTGCTCCACGCAGAACGTGCCCTCTTTAATACCCATCACCAGGTTAACCCATCCCCCCACCTCCCCTCTAGAACCCTCAGTTTGTTTTTCAGAGTCCATCGTCTCTCATGGTTCATCTCCCCGTCCGACTTACTCCCCTTCATTCTTCCCCTCCTGCCATACCCTCCCCAATGTCTATCACCCAGCCACCCCATCCCTCCCACCCCCCCACCACTCCAGCAACACTTAGTTTGTTTCCTGAGATTAAGAATTCCTCATATCAGTGAGGTCATATGATACATGTCTTTCTCTGATTGACTTATTTCACTCAGCGTAACACCCTCCAGTTCCATCCACGTCGTTGCAAATGGCAAGATCTCTTTCCTTTTGATGGCTGCATAATATTCCATTGTGTACATATACCACATCTTCTTTATCCATTCATCTGTCGATGGACATCTTGGCTCTTTCCACAGTTTGGCTATTGTGGACATTGCTGCTATAAACACTGGGGTGCATGTACCAGAAGGGTTTTAAAATATCAGTTTCTCTCTCTCCTCTTTGGATGTACTATAAGTAGCAGATTCTATTATCCTCATTGTCCTTTTTTTTTTTAGGATTTTGTATTTATTTATTTAACAGAGAGAGAACAAGCAGGGAGAGTGGCAGGCAGAGGGAGAAGCAGGCTCCCTGCTCAGCAGGGAGCCCAATGCAGAACTCGATCCCAGGACCCCGGGATCGTGACCCGAGCCGAAGGCAGCCACTTAACCGACTGAGCCACCCAGGCATCCCGCATCCTTTTTTGTTTTAAGATTTTATTTATCTGAGGGCACCTGGGTGGCTCAGTTGGTTAAGAGACTGCCTTCAGCTGGGGTCATGATCCCGGAGTCCTGGGATTGAGTCCCGCATCGGGCTCCCGGCTCAGCGGGGAGCCTGCTTCTCCCTCTGACCCTATCCCCTCTCATGCCGTTTCTCTCTCTCTCTGTCTCAAATAAATAAATAAATAAAATCTTTAAAAAAAAGATTTTATTTGTCTGAGAGAGAGCAGGGGAGAAAGAGAGAGAGCACGGGGGGAGGGGCAGAGTGAGAGAGAGAAGCAGACTCCCCACTGAGCAGGGAGTCCTGACCCAGGGCTCAGTCCAAGGACCCTGGGATCATGACTTGAGTCAAAGGCAGACACTTAACCAACTGAGTCACCCAGCCTCCCCAGCTTCACTGTCTTGTAATAATGTGTAAAGGGCGTCTGGGTGGTTCAGTCAGTTAAGCAGCCAACTCTTAAGTTTCAGCTCAGGTCATGATATCAGGGTCCTGGGTGGGGCCCTGTATTGGACTCCCTGCTCAACGGGGTGTCTGCTAGAAGATTCTCCCTCTCCCTCCTCCTGCCCACGCTATTTCTCTCTCTCTCTCCAAAATAAATAAATAAATCTTTTAAAAAAATGTGTAAGAGATTTTTCATTACCAGTGAGCCATGGGAGAGCTATGAGCAGGGAAGGCCATGGTCAGCTCTTGGTATAGTAAGACCTTTCTAAGTCCATGTGGGGGATGGACTAGAGGGGAGGGACTGGAGGCTGGGAGGACATGGAAGAGGCTGGACCTATGAATGGGGCTGAGTAAGAAAGCTTTTGTCCAAATGACACAGCTGTCAAGCTGGACACCTGAGAGCACCCATGAGAATTTCTGTGCAACTTTGGAAAGTTCAGCCCCTTCTATGGCCTCAGTTTCCTCATCTGTAAATAGGTCATAATTATCCTAGATGTCTTAGTTATCTATCACTGTGAAATGAATTGCTCCCAAACACTGCAGCTTAAAACAACAATAAATATTATCTCACACAATTTCTGAAGGTTGGAAATCCATGAGTGGCTTAGCAGGGTGCTTCTGACTCAGGGTCTCTCCTGAGGTTGCAGTCAGGACATTGTTAGGGAGTGTTATCAACTGAAGGCTTGACTAGAGCTGGGGCTTGTGTTTACAAAGTGGTTCACTCACAAGGCTGACGGACTTGGTTCTTCATCACGTGTGTTTCTCTGGAAGATGACTGCTTGAGTGTCCTTACAACATGGTGGCTCGCTTCCTCTAAAGCGAGTGATCCAAGAAAGAGCAAAACAGAAGCTGCAGTAAATTTTACGACCTAACTTTGGAAGTCACACTCTGTCATTTATTTCCACTATATCCTATTGATCACGCTGCTCAGGCCTCTTCAGTGTGGGAGGGGACTACACAGGAGCATGAATACCTGGAGACTAAAATCGTCAGGGGCCATCTTGGAGGTGGGCTTCACAGTTCCAATGTAGCATCTTTGTTATTATAAACAGTTTTGACTTCAGAACTAGCTAAGTTTTCTCCCCATTACTCAACGGCTGTACTGTATAGAGGTCTGTAGCTGCATTAAAAGCCCTTTCTTCTCTTCTCTGTAATTAAGGCACAGGAAAGGCTAATTCATTGGACTGGAATAACGGGCACAGATAAAATTAGCTTCAAAGTTAATAGGAAAAACGATTTCCCCCAAGGACATGCTTTCTTTCTCACAGAAAACTTTGTTCCCTAAAATAATAAAGTGTTGAAAATTCTATCAGTAAAAATGAAACATCCCACTCTTGCCTGTAATCATTTGAAACAGAGTAGCAGCTTCAATTTCCAATCCAGGTGCAGAGCTTCACATAAAGGCTTTCTGGACCCAGTACTCCACATCTAGATTCACCTTGTAGTTTCCAAGGGTACAAGACCCTGGTTCCTCTTCAGTCTGCACCTGATGTTGGCCTGCCTTGCTTTGAGCCTATCATTTAGTTGTCATCTAAATTCTATCCTTCCTGCAAATCCTATAATAACTCTACCTTTTCCTTTGTTTGTCAAAATGCTCCACGGTTTCTCTCTTGTGTGGGCTCCATCATCACTATGGGTCAATAACTTGACTTTGTCAGACTATGTTCCTGGTGGTATTAGGCTGATGTATAAAGACTCCTATGATCTTCCATTGCTACGGCTCCCAGCCACCCTTGGGACCTAGATCCTGTCTCTTATATGCCCCACCCTTCATTATCTGACCCCAGCCTATTTTCTGAGTTTTTTTTTTTTTAAAGATTTTATTTATTTATTTGAGAGAGAGAGAATGAGAGACAGAGAGCATGAGAGGGAAGAGGGTCAGAGGGAGAAGCAAACTCCCTGCTGAGCAGGGAGCCTGATGTGGGACTCGATCCCGGGACTCCAGGATCATGACCTGAGCCAAAGGCAGTCGCTTAACCAACTGAGCCACCCAGGCGCCCTGAGTTTTTTCTTTTCTTTTTAAAAAGAGATATAATAATTTCCATGCAGTAAAGTGCGCATTTCGTATGTACAGTTGCATGAATTTTTCAACATGTGTATACCCAAGTAATCATCACCTAGATCAAGATACAGCTCATTTCAGCACCCCCCACCACCACAGGTGCATGTCTCGGGGTCTTTCCCCTTTCATACCCTGCGAATCTATCAGCATAGATTAGTTTTGCCACTTTTTGAATTTTATATTCCTTTTATTTTCACAAAAACAACTCACAGACTTTAATCATCTGAAACGTCCTGCCTCAGTGAATGATAATTTTGGCCTCCGATGTTCCTTCTGCCCTGGGGAGGGCTCAAATCCTACCTGAAACTTCCGAAAATGCTGCACGAATGAATGAATGAAAGTTAAAGCTGCCATGAAACGGGTGGCCCGTAGAAGGGCGCCACGACCGGTTCCTACAGGGAAGTACAGATTGGACGGTGACGTGGAAGGGGCCGAGGGCTCCCCCCGCAGAAGAGGCCGGTGCGGTCACGTGACCGCACGGCCCTGCGGGGCGACAGCGGGCGATCGCCATTTTGCGGGGCGGTCACGTGAGAGGACGCACGCTCAGTGGGCGGTCACGTGACCAGGGGCGTGCTGCGGCCGCCCGGGCGGACCCGGCGAGAGGCGGCGGCGGGAGCGGCGGTGATGGACGGGTCCGGGGAGCAACCCAGAGGCGGGGGTGAGGCGGCAGGCAGACGGGCGGGAGGAGGGCGAGCCCCCTCGCCGGCCGGCCCCACGATCCCTCCTGCCGGTCTGGGGCCGTGAGATCTCCAAGCACTCCGGGGCAGAAACTCCCGGATCGGGCGCTGCCAGCTTCCAGCCCCCTCCCTCCCCGGGGGTTCCCGGCTCTCTGGCCTCCGTTCCCCGATTCCTTCCTGCCTGGTGCTCTCGGACCGCCGAGAAGCTGGAGACCACAGAATCCAAGCCCCCGGGGCAGGCCCGGGCTTGTTGCCGGCACCACTTCCTGGTGGGAGGGGCGGGTCTCTCTGTCCCCTCAGGCCAGGGGTCTGGATGCATTAAGTGTTCCCTCAGCCGCCTCCACCGGAAGAACTTAGGATACTGGCCTAGGCTCCCTTAGGATACTGGCCTAGGCTCCCTTAGGATACTGGCCTAGGCTCCCTGCCTTTTTCTCCATCAGGGACTCAGTTGTCCGGGCCCCTAGCCACTATATCTACGAGGAACCCAGAAATGCAGGACCCCCTAGTGTTGTCCTCCCTCAGAGATCATGAGCCACCCTGGTTCCCTGGATCCCCTAGGACCCAAGAGTCCAGGCACCTCTTCCCTCCTTTCTCCTCTAGGGCCCACCAGCTCTGAGCAGATCATGAAGACAGGGGCCCTTTTGCTTCAGGGGTGAGTTTGAGGTGTGATTATTGCCGAGCGGATTTGAGGAGTGATGCCCCATTCTGATTCTGCATCCCCCACACTCCATTCCCACTCTAGTTTCATCCAAGATCGAGCAGGGCGAATGGGGGGAGAGACACCCGAGCTGGCCCTGGAGCAGGTGCCCCAGGATGCATCCACCAAGAAGCTGAGCGAGTGTCTCAAGCGCATCGGAGATGAACTGGACAGTAACATGGAGTTACAGAGGTGTGGCCCCTGGGCCCCAGGAGTCCAGCCACTGGTCCCCTTCTTCCTCAGCCCAGGGGTCCAGCCCCCCCACCCCCAACTCTGCTCAGCACCCTGGACTCTCAGCCCTTCCCTCCTTTAGAATATCGAAACCCTTCCTCAGGGAGTCATTTTTCCCACATTCCTAAGTGTCCATCTTGTCCCTTTCCCCCATGTTGGCCCCTTCTTTTTCATGTCAGCCTGGCTTGGGCCTCAGTTTCTTTGTCTTTGGTATGAGGTAGATGCCAGGGTCTCCACACCCTGCCTGATCTTTCCTCCCCAGCACTGGCTTTCCTCTTTTCCTGCAGGATGATCGCAGCCGTGGACACAGACTCCCCTCGTGAGGTCTTTTTCCGAGTGGCAGCTGACATGTTTTCCGATGGCAACTTCAACTGGGGCCGGGTTGTTGCCCTCTTCTACTTTGCCAGCAAACTGGTGCTCAAGGTGGGCGGCTGCAGGGCAGTGAGCCCAGGGAAGCTCCACTCAGACCTATGAGGACCTAGGGGTTGTGAGGTCAACCCCTGTGGCAGCCCACTCACCAAAGGGAATGGAGAGAGCTATGGGCTGGTTGTTTGCTCCTTCATTTATTCATGCAGGATTTATTGGCCTACTATGTGCCCAACCTGTAGATGTGCCCGGCACCCGAGATGCAGCACCAAACAGCAGGCTAGATCCCTGCTCTCTTGGAGCTCACATTGTCCAATGGGTGCTGAGAGAAGTAAACTAGGATGATGTAATGCAAAGTGGTCAGAACGACTTCTAAGAGCAAGTGACATTAAAGCCAACATTGCGGTGATCTATGAAGATCAGGGGGAAAGACATCTGGTGGTGGCCACAGCAAGTGGAAAGGCCATGAGGCAGGACCAAGGCTGATGCATTGAGGGCAGATTGCAAGGGGTCTTGTGAGGGGCCCCCCCACAATTGATGTTAAAGATGTTAACTTTGCCATGAGTGAGAGGAGAGTGACTGGCTGGTTTTAAACAGGAGAGTGAGGTGACCTGATTTATAAATTTAAAGGATTGTTCTAGTAAGCAAAATGTTAATTGTACAATCTAGGCTGTAGGCATATGGCTGTTCACTGTGAAATCCTTTTAACTTTAAAATATCAGGGGAGGGGCGCCTGGGTGGCTCAGTTGGTTGGGCGACTGCCTTCGGCTCGGGTCATGATCCTGGAGTCCCCGGGTCGAGTCCCGCGTCGGGCTCCCTGCTCGGCGGGGAGTCTGCTTCTCCCTCTGACCCTCCCCCCTCTCATGCTCTCATTCTCTCTCTCAAATAAATAAATAAATAAAATCTTAAAAAAAATAAAATAAAAAAATAAAATATCAGGGGAACGGAAGCCTAACAATTTTGGGGGGGCCATTGTGGGTAGGAAAAAAGATATGGGGCAAAAGCTGGGAAGCTGGGAGGAGGCACCTGTAGTAGTTCTGGTGAATGATGACTGACCTGGCCTCCATTGGTAGCAGTGGAGGCAGGGAGTAGATTTCTTTTTTTTAATTATTATTTAAAGATGGTATTTATTTATTTGACAGAGAGAGAGACAGCGAGAGAGGGAACACAAGCAGGGAGAGTGGGAGAGGGAGAAGCAGGCTTCCCACTGAGCAGGGAGCCCGATGCAGGGCTGGATCCCAGGACCCTGGGATCATGACCTGAGTTGAAGGCAGCCACTTAACCGACTGAGCCACCCCGGCGCCCCCGGGGAGTAGATTTCTTAATGTCTTTGCCAGATTGAGCTGATGAGGCTTGAATGTTGGAGGTGAGGGGGACAGCAGTCAGAGTGATGGTGGGGCTATGTAAGGTGATGGGGACAATAGGGGGGAAAGCAGCCAGATAAATAAAGAGTGGGAAGGGGAAGTTCAGGGAGTTGGAGAGTCATGGGTATGTCTGGTCCTATCTAGCCTGAAGGTCAGAAAAGCCCTCTCTGGAGAAATTGACATTAGACCTGACATGAGAGCTTTGAGGGAGGAGTAAAAATTTGCTTTGTTGAAGCACGTTTAGGTAGAAGAATCAGCATGTGCAAAGGTCCTGAGGCAGGGAAGAGTTGGTGGGAATGAAGATATGGAAGAAGGTAAATGAGACACAAAAAAGAAGTGGAAAACTGGAATGCGATCAAGTCAGAGCCTTCATACAGGGCCTTGTGGGCTAGGATGTGCCTTTTGGTCTTTACCACCTGGGGAGCCATGGAAGGTATGTGAGCAGGGCAGTTGACCGTGACAAGATCCAGTTTACAATTTATGAATCTCATTCTGAGTATGAGTGGAAGGAGACTGCAGTGGGGCAGGAGGGGAGGCAGAGTTGAGAAAGGAGGCTTGGGGCCACTGTGCCCAGACAGTGGGGACAAGGTTCAGTCCCTAAGGCCCACCCTACTCCCTGCAGGCCCTGTGTACCAAGGTGCCCGAGCTGATCAGGACCATTATGGGCTGGACACTGGACTTCCTTCGAGAGCGGCTGCTGGGCTGGATCCAGGACCAGGGTGGTTGGGTGAGGCCCCTAACCCTTCCCGCACTCCTCCGAGACCCCTGGGTCTTCCTGAGCCCACCAGTGTTGCCCTCTCTGACTCTGGATCATCAAATGGGGTCTGTAATGCATTTCCTCTCATGTCTGATCAACTCCTAATTTGTCTGCTATCCACTGACCTGTTGGTGACCCCTGACCTCCCAGTGACCTGTGACCTCTCAGTGACCTCTGACCTAATTAGTACCTTCTGTCCTTCCTGGTGCCTCCATTTCCTCTGGAGTCCCTCAAGTTTTTTGATAGCCCTTTGATGCCAGCTGTTTGAGATCCATTCATCTTAGGCTCTTGCCCCCACTCATGCCCTATGACCACTTCACTCCCTGATTTCCTCCTGTGCTGGCCCAAGGGCTGCACCTTGGCCCAGCTGCTGAAGTGACTGATGTCCCTGTCTACAGGACGGCCTGCTCTCCTACTTTGGGACACCCACGTGGCAGACAGTGACCATCTTTGTGGCTGGAGTGCTCACTGCATCACTCACCATCTGGAAAAAGATGGGCTGAGTCCACCAGCTGCCTTGGACTGTGTCTTTTCTGCATAAATTATGGCATTTTTCCGGGAGGGGTGGGGATTGGGGGTCATGGGCATTTTTCTTACTTTTGTAATTATTGGGGCGGGAGGGCATGGGGAGGAGTGGTCCAGGGGGGCAATAAACCTCTTTCAGGCCACACTTCAGAGTCTGAATCACTGGGAGCCCACTCCCTGGCTGTCACAGGAGACCAGGCTTCATGTGCTCACAAATATTTTTCAAAGGAGCCTGGTGCCCTCTGGGTTACTGAGGAGTTAGGTCTCCACTCTGCCCTCCAGGAGCATTCAGTCCTGAGGGAACTGAAGATCACTGTGTGGAAGCCTACAGTGTTGTGTTGGAGGCAGCACTGGGCAAGGCCAAGCCAAGCAGTGGATCCTGGGGCTTTAGGGAAAGAGAACAGTGCAGCAGGCCCTGGAGAACTAGGGCTTGGAAGTTTCCACCACATGGGACCAGAGGAAGTTGCACTTACCGAGGTGGAGAATCGGGGGGAGAGGGGAGGGATGGGAGGCCTTGGGAGGACTTACTGGACCAGGAGAGAGCTCTAGAGCCCTGTGGAGAAGCTACTGGAGGTCAGAAGGCTGGAATCAGGGGTTCTGAGAGAGAGGACAAGGCCTGAGCCAGTGCTGTGTGGCCTGAGGGGACAGGGCTGGACACCTGTTGCGTGGGGAGGGGCTGGCCCAGTAACTGGGTGGGACCCTCCAGGAAAGCAGGCCCTAGTGAAGATGCTGGAAAGCTGCCTTGTAGATTGGACACAGAAAAGGAAATAGAGATTAAGATCACTTGGTCTTGGGCGCCTGGGTGGCTCAGTTGGTTAAGTGACTGCCTTCGGCTCAGGTCATGATCCTGGAGTCCCTGGATCAAGTCCCGCATCGGGCTCCCTGCTCGGCAGGGAGTCTGCTTCTCCCTCTGACCCTCCCCCATCTCATGTGCTTTCTCTCTCTCATTCTCTCTCTCAAATAAAATAAAAAAATCTTTAAAAAAAAAAAAAGATCACTTGGTCATAGGGTCTGTTGTACCTTCTCTCGGGGTCTCTTCCCCCCTCTCTAGGTCTTTCTGTCCTCTGTCTCTCTGGGCCTCTCGTTTTCCCCCATCCCATGATCTACCCCTCACCCCCAAGATCTCAGTCCTTTTTCAGATCATTTTTGTCTCCCCACTTCCTCTCCCTCTACCTGTGAGCACTTCTGAAGAAGCCACCTCTCTGCCAGTGGGGCCTACTGGAGGCTAAAGGTCTTTAAGCTGAGGTATGAATGAGTGAATGAGTAACTCAGGCCCTATTGTGACTGTGTGCCTGGGGCAACTGCCCCGCCCCCAGAGACTTTCCCCAGAGACACCAAGTAGGGGGAGAGCTGACAGATAAGATAGCAGTGAGGGGAGACTGAGTCAACTGCCCAGAGAGAGGGGCCAGTGTGACCACAGGCAGGAGACCAGGGAAAACATCAAGGCAACTAAAAAGACTGTAAGACTCAGAGACAAAGCACACTCGCATCTTGGGGGAGTGGGCCACACCTGGTTCCCAGCCAGGCTTAGTTCTCAGGGTCCCAGCCAGTTTGCAGTCTGCCATGGACACAGGTCAGTCAGTGGCCCCACCCCGCCTCTGCCTGAGACCCTTCCTGCTGAGTTCAGCATGACTCAGCACTGCCGCTTCCCTGGCCACCGGCCCACGTGCCCCTTAAGGACCCCAGATACCAGCCTGGTCCAGCAACCCCTGGGTCAGGAGACACCCCCCTGCCTGGGCTGTTTGGAGTGCCCCCCCCCCCTGTAAAGCAGGCCTCAGTGGCTTCAGCTCCCCTGCCCAACCCACTGGCTACCCTCATTAGGGCACTGAAAATAGGGTCAAGTTCCTGTCTTTCCCTCCTTTCCCCCCCTCTAGGACGGGGAGTTCCTTGAGGGCAGAGTCCTGGTTTGAGCCAGCTCTGCTTCCCAGACACCAGCCTGCAACTGACAGACTTAAAAAATGTACACTGGTTAAAGACACATCCCATCCACAGGTCCGCAGACCCTCCTTGTTTCCCCAGGACCCAGGGCTTCTCTTTGGGACCTTCAAGAAGCATGTGTTAAGCAAGGCAGGGACTGCTTCAGAGCCAAAGAGAATTCCAAGTCTCTGGCTGCCCTCAGAATAGTCTCCAGGAAAAGCAGCCTGAGAGAGACCCTAAAGCTTGAGTGTCATTTCAGCCTTACCTTATGCATATCAGCTTCCAGAAAAACAGGCCCCTGAAATAGCCCCAAGGTATTCCAAATGGCCCAATCTTTCAAAGGCTCCAAAGACTTCCTACCTCTTAGAAAATCCCTTACGAGGCTTCCAGAAATAGCCCAGTCCCCTATTGGGGGGGGGGGGTTGCAGGAGGACCCACCAAGGGACTGTCCTTTTAATCTTGAAGATCACTTCATGAGTCTAAAGACACACACACACACACCGCCACCCCTCTCCCAGGGTAAGAGCCCAGAAAATAAGGACTTCCAACCTGAGCTCTAGTGCTACAGAAATTCCCAATCCTTGAGTGAACCCCAGGGCTCCAGGTCCCCCCTTTCAATCCACCTATCAGAGAGATCCCCAAGATTCCAGAAATATCTCACCGCACCGCCTTCCAAACTTCTTAATGATCCGGGGACCCCTTATCTTCCAGAGCAAACCCCAGTCATCTGGAGGTCTCCGCACCTCTGAGAAACCTCCAGGGCTCCAGAAAGGTCCATGCTCTAAGACACAAGCCCAGAATCCAATCTACTTTCCTGAGACAACCCCAAGGCTCCAGAGTCATAATTTTCCAGGGCTCCCAGTGTCCCCATCAACCTTCCACCTACCAGGGAGACCCCCACAAACCCCACGCCCCAGAATCAGCCCCAGGACCCTTTCACCCCGCAACCCACCCCCCACCTCCGCTTCCCCATTTCACAACAACCTCGCGCTACTGGCGCGTGACTTCCCCGCTTCTGGGCGGGGGTCTGGGACTCCTATCAGCTCGGATTGGTCAATAGCTGGTCCTAAGCCCCGCCTTCCAGCACCGCGGGTTGGCCGATCGCTCTCCCTGAGCGCCCCACCTCCGATGGCCCGCGCGCTATAAAAGAAGCCGCCTTGGCCACGGCCTCTAGCAGTGCGCCCGGCGGTCCTGCGGATCTGATTCTTGCTTCAACAGTGTTTGGACGGAACAGACCCAGGGACGCCCCTCCAACCCGCCAACGACCACTCTCCAACCTCTTTTCCAGTCGCAACCTTGGGAGCCATCTTCTTGGCCACCCGCTGCCTCCGGGACCAGCCAACAGCCAATTTCGAGCTTACCTTACCACCAATCAACCATGAGCTCCCAGATTCGTCAGAATTATTCCACCGAGGTGGAGGCCGCCGTCAACCGCCTGGTCAACATGCATCTGCGGGCCTCCTACACCTACCTCTCTCTGGTGAGGGTCCCCAGGACGCCCCCCGCCTAAGTTGCCCCCAAGTGCGCACCTCCGGCCCTCTGCGCACGCGCTGGCCGCCTTTGTCCCATAGGGTAGTCGGAGGGCGGAGTCCGGGCTCCTGGCCGGCCTTTCTTCCCGCTAAACTGTTTTTCGCGCGTCCCTTCCCGCAGGGCTTCTATTTCGACCGTGACGATGTGGCTCTGGAAGGTGTGGGCCACTTCTTCCGCGAGTTGGCTGAGGAGAAGCGCGAGGGCGCCGAGCGTCTCTTGAAGATGCAAAACCAGCGTGGCGGCCGCGCCCTCTTCCAGGACGTCCAGGTAAGTAGTGTGCGGGCAGCGGACTACAGGTCCCGGTAGTCCGTGCGCGCGCCCAGCGCCTTGGTCGTAACGGTGTAGGCCCCGCGTGGGCTTCTGGACGATTGTGTTCACTCTCGTGCGGCGCAAAATGGAGGCGCGCGCACTTTCCCGAAGACGTAGCTGTCCACACCGCAACGGGGTCTCCTGGGATGGGTAGTTGTAGGAGCCTGGGCGCGATAGATGCAAGCTCTTAGACGCTTTTGCGGTCTATTTATCTAGTCCTGAGCCCTCTGTCCTCTGTACAGAAGCCGTCCCAAGATGAGTGGGGGAAAACCCTGGACGCCATGGAAGCTGCCCTGGTTCTGGAGAAGAGCCTGAACCAGGCCCTTTTGGATCTGCATGCCCTGGGTTCTGCCCGCGCAGACCCCCATGTAAGTACTCCCTTCCTCCGCACTTAGTTGGGCAAATTTCCCTTTGAACCTCATTTCCCCATCTGTCACACTGTGGATGGGTAAGTGGCAACGTTTTCTCCTCTTCTGGCACTCAGCTCTGTGACTTCCTGGAGAACCACTTCCTAGATGAGGAGGTGAAACTCATCAAGAAGATGGGCGACCACCTGACTAACCTCCGCAGGCTGGCCGGCCCCCAGGCTGGACTGGGCGAGTATCTCTTCGAGAGGCTCACTCTCAAGCACGACTAGGAGCCTCTGGAGACCAGCAGCCTTTGAGGGGGCCCCTCTGACAGCCCCCTGGTGCCAGAGCTTGTGCCTCAGCCTCTCCCTGCAGCCACGAGGCAGCTTTTTAACCACCCTGGAGCCCTCGCCCAAGCCGTGGACCAAGTGGAAACAATAAAGCTTTTTGCAGCAGCTGGTGGTTTTGGGTGTGTTTTTGTTGTGCTCGCGTGTATGGTGTGGGAAATGAGGTGGTATCTATTTTCACAAGGCTATAGTTGGACTGCCCTGGCAGGGAGCCGGGTGTTGCCCCCACCTCCCAACTTGGCTGTTACTCTAAACTCTAATCTTAACCCAGGGGTGGGAGGGTGGTGGAGTAGCAGCTTCTCTGCTTGGCTGGGCTGTTAACTGTCTTTCCTACAGGGCAGAGCCTAGACTCCAAGGAGAGTCTAAAAGACCTAGGCTTGGTAGCTGGAAGCGGGCACTGTTGGAAATAACAAAGTGTAACCAGATAACGGGATCTGATGAGTAACAGTTGTCAAGCAACAGGAGCACATGATAATGCAAGAGGTGCTGAGCTAGGGATTTGGAGCACAGAACAGAAACGGGATGTGAAACTCGGGGATTAAATTCTCCCAAGTGGGAACTGAAGGCCTAGCAGGCAGCTGCTGGATCCAAACTACGGGACTGAACTCTGACACCCTGCCCCATCTCTGGTTTTGGTTGAAGAATCTAAGAGGAAGTGGCTCCTGGACACTTGTTCTTTCGGACACTCAGTACCTGCTGTTGTCACCACACTTTGGTGGCCACTCATGATTCTGGCAGGGGAGGGGGCTTCTGTGTGTTCATCACCACCAACACAGTTAACAGGAAGAATGGTCATACACACAAATCCAGTTTTCTACTCCCCTGAAACGTGATTGGCTTGGAGGTACACTCCTAGCGAAGACTAGAACTGAAAACAGATTTTTCCTGGAAAATAGAGCCATTCAGGGGACAGTAGGGCTAAAGTCCAGAGGTCAGTGTCCTTGAAACATGTTCTAAGCTAGTGCTGTCCAACAGAATTTTTTGCAATGATGAAAATATTCTGGGGGCGCCTGAGTGGCTCAGTCAGTTAAGCCAAAGGCTCAGGTCATGATCCTAGGGTCCTGGGATCGAGACTCATGTCAGGCTCCCTGCAGTAGGGAGTCTGCTTCTCCCTCTGCCCCTCCCCCCCTCATGCCCTCTCTCTCTCTCAAATCAAATCTTAAAAAAATAAAATATTCTGTATTTGCACTGTTCACTTGTGTAGCTATGACCCTTATGTGGCCACAGTGACTACTGGGCAGTTGGATGTGGCTAGTGCTACTGAGGAATCTGGTTCATTTAAATAGCCACACAGGGCTTGTGGCTACCCGTGGGTCTTTTTTTTCTAGTGACACAGCCCCTTTGAGCCAAATTTTTGCCCGCCTGCAAGTCCCAACG